GTCAAGAGACATAAAAGTGAATACTTGTGGCGGGGGAGTTTTGAACCGCTAGCGACAGTGAGTCAGGAAAAGCTGGAAAAACAGCCCAATTCCAGTGGCACGAAGTGCAGCATTTACTGGAAGTAGCAGAGGACAACCTTCCTGTCTTGCCTTAGCCATCCCCGGTGCACAGGATGAGTCTCTGCAGCTTCAGAGCTTAGGTCACGTGTCATAACTCCCATCAGTAAAGTCACCTCTGCAAACACTCATTTTGAAGGACTACCGTCAACAAGGAAGGTAAGGAAGCGTTTCAGTGCCTGCAGCACAGGGATCTCCACTGGCGCAGGTGGGCCAAAGAGCTGTAGTGGCAGCAAGCTCCTGGGCGGGAGACGGAGGCACGTGCGGACGCAGCCACGCTCTGGCAGAGCTGGCCCGAGGCAGCCCTGCTCCGAGAGCCCGGGGCAGGGCGGCGGGGATCAGGCGGGTGGCAGCAAGCCCTGCCGCACAGCAGGGCCGGGACCTGCCAGGAGGCGTGGATGCGATGCACGTTGCTTCCCCAGTTCTCACCTGTTTCAGAGAGAACTCGCCCAAGTTCACGTTCTATCTCTCTTCACAGTGTGGTTACGTTGCTAATGAATGCAGTTTGCTTTGGGGTTTGGCAGTTTAAAATCAGTTGTTAAGGTCAAAATTACTCAAATTTTGATCTGATTTACTATATAACAAGTAGCAAACCATTTAAAGTGATTCAGAGGGTTATATCTGTGCCCCTGCACAAAGCACCAGGGCACAGTTAAATGCACAGAAGGATTTTCATCTGCTGACAGAAGTGTGCATTATCTATTCCTGTACAGGAACAGCAAACAACTGGCAGAAATGTCAGTCTAGCTCAGTATCTTGGAACTATTCAGAATATAAATTAAGATTAAAAAGTACTTTCTCTTATCACACTCCTCCTAGAGAATAAATATCACTTCTACTCTTATTTTCCACTTTTTTTCCAAATTTCAGTACCCCTTAGGAAGGCTGTAGCACTCCCACATACTTTGTATTTTTAAAAAATCATGTGGGTTTATTTTTTATTAGCATGTTGTCCCACTACTTATAAATCAGTAAATCTGGGCCGCATTTGACATGCTGATTTGATTAAACCAGAACGTGAAAGTAGTTTGTTGAACGAGACCTCGATTTTGCCAGGACCTCCATGTTGCACTACAGTCGAAGCAGTTGCAGGGACAGTCATGCAAAATAGCAATGGCCTACATAGTTAGGAAACACCTAACTTTACCCTGTAAAACAAGCCGCAAAACCACACACCACTTTGAGACCCACTCTAAAAGAATAGGCCATCTTAAGAGAGTGAAGTGTTATGTAAATATTTACTAATTAGCTGATATGACTGCAGAGCAGGCAGTTTTCTGGACATTTAGAAGACATACCTTTGCAAACAGGACTCCTACGTTACTGCGCTGGCCCTTCCCTCTCATTTCTCAGGCAACTAATGCACCTATTTAAATGTATATGTATATGTATAAACAGCCATAAAGTGATGGGGTGACCCAAGACTCAAGTGAAAAATATAAGGGCCCCAATTCTGGAAACATTTGTCTGCTGGCATTTCCACTGTTAACTTCCTTTATCTACGAGGCAGCTCACCTAACAAAGAGAAAGTGCCACAAGAATCCTGTACTGTGTTACAAAAGGAAGAGGGGGAAGCGTTGCTAAATTTCGGCACTGTCCAGTTCTTATTTATCCTTAGCCACAACATCATCAAAGTGAGGTGGGAGCTGTTAATATTGCTCCAACTCTCTCAAGTTGTATAGTATCTATTAGGTGTTCATTAGTACAGTACTCCTAAACCCCAAAATTATTAAAAAAAAACCCCAAACAAAATTACAACCATACAGCCCCCACCCCCAATATATTGCTGTAATTTGCATGTGAGCCAGCTGAGATGTGAAACGGTAATGGACTGAATTTGGGCAATGACTATTGTAAGACACTGGACAGTAGCTGAGACTTCTCACTGAACACATGCATCTCACTTGAAATGTAAGAAGCTCAGGATGCTTCTAGTTCTGGGGAAATACCAACTCCCACTGCTGGGCTTCAGAAAATGGAACTGGATTTTTTCTGTCCTTCTCATACAATATTTTAGAACTCAAAATACTACTTTTAGTGGCTATTTTGGTGCTAACTATCAACTCCTGCCTTGGTGGGGATTAAAAAAAGAGAGGGATGGGGGAAAAATTATGCTGGAGATAAAGGAAGTGGAAGTTACTTATGGTATTTAAAGAACTGGAGTAGATAGTCCTCTTAACAAGTAGTGTGAAATTACTTACTCTTTGAAAAAGCCATCCTGACAGGGTTAATGCAAGGGAGATTGATTACATAGAAAACTATTAAAATAGAGCTAATTCTAGCAACCGTTTGTCAAAAGTACCAGAAGCAAAAATGAATACTCAGAAAATTACTTAAAGTTTTTCTCAGCTCCCACTAGGCAAAAGAGCAAGAAAATCCCCTCTCCACCTTTTTTAACACTTAGAAAGTCCCTGATGATCTCATGCATGTTGCCCCATGTAACAAATGTGGAGTGGGAAAAAAGAGGCCACCAAGTTCTGAAGGCATCAGCCTTCTCATCCATAGGCATCTATGGATTAGAAATGGGAGAAGCAGTTTGCTAAAAATAAAATGTATTATAAAGATAACAGGAGAAAGCAGAGACTTTTTTTTTTTCTTGGGGTTAAAAGTTGTAAAGCTGTAAAAAGTCCTGTATGCAAATAACATGTTCACACACTTCCAAAGCTGAGATTTACATCCCCATAAGGTCGGTCTGCTGAAACTTTTCAGCTGAAGGAAGTTGACCTGTTACAAAGAACACGCTGACACAGGAAGAATCGGAGGTCTGAGAAGCCCAAAATGACACAAGTTTTCAAAGAAACTAAAGTTCTTGTCACTCTGCCCTGGCAACACAGATGAAAAGAGGTTTTACACGTCTCCTTAGGAGATGCCTGTTGGTGAAAGCATTTTGGAGGACTCTCTAGGAGTGAAGGAGATGGAGGAGGTAGAAAGCTCTCTTAAATACCTGGGCAATGCAAAAGGAGAGAAACCAAAAAATTTGGGCTCGTGATAATTTTTACGGATGCTGCTAAGTTTAGATATCCCTGATTGATTGATTTTATTCCCATTGACTGCTTAGTTCAATCTGAGTCTTCAGTTTAGATATGACAACTATTTTTTAGGTTAAGATGAGAAAGGTAGAAGAGAGCCTCTGTGAGTCATTTGAGGCTGCAAACGTACAGCCGCTGCTTGAATGTATACATCATGAAAAAGCACCTATCACCCCTGCCTGTGCAAAAGCCCCTAAAGTGCTTCCTTTCCGCTATTAGCACTTGCTGCTGAGCAACAAAAGGAAAGCAATTAAGTAAGGTGTGTGCAGGAACCTAAATGACTACTGACTTTTTTTTCTTATAAGGCACATGAAAATTTGTATATAGCAAATGGATTGCATTTAAGAGGGTGTGAATCCAGGAGGAGAAAAAAAGTTTGAAAAAAGTAGGCTGTTGCTTTGAAAAATGTCCATGGTTTTCTCATTATTCCTTGCACAGGAAGGTGAGGTAAGACACCCCTGTGAGCAGAACCGAGGTAGGTGCTTGGTGCTGCTTAAAAATGTCAAATTCTGAGAAGTGATCCCCACTTCTTGTAAGCGTACCAGGAAGTTCATCTCCGTGAGTGGCAGGGGAGGGCTTCCATCAAAAAGTGTTGTGTTTCTGTCTCCCCTCACTGTATCAGCATAGCTCCTTCGTATAAAAGCATAAGCAAGAGGTGGAGAGGTTTGTTCACGTGAGGGAAGGCTGCATCTGTGCACATGCTGTGATTGCAGGCCTTCGGTAAACAGAGAAAAAAGTCAGCTCCGTTTCACTGATATTAGTAATTTACAAAGATGTTTCCTTCTTTCATTTTATCCCAATTTCCGCATGACTCTCTGGACGTTTTCTTTTTTTCTGTGTGCTCTGTGATTCACCGGTGCCCTTCACTTTCTCTGCTGTGCCCAGGTGGTCTGTGGGCGCGTTAGGGCTGTGGTAATCTTCACTCTCCCTCTTCTCTTTACTGTTACCCCAGGTCTTTCCTCCCCCACCCCCCCAAAACCGGCTTGACTTCTCTGGTCTAAAAAGGGGGGGTTGGGTGCCGCAAGCAGGACGCAGGGTGCCCCTATGGGTGCAGAGCTTTGGCAGGTGTGGCCGCGAGGGCGGGCGAGGAGGGAGCTGGTGCTGCCCTCCCCGCTCACCCCACTGAGTCACAGTTCCTCCATCAGCGCGGGGAGGCGGAGGAGTCATTTCCCCGCCGGCTGCTTCGTGCCACGGGCGGCGCTTGCCTTGGACCACCATGTGCCCCGGCCGCGCCGCCTGCCTTCAGGGCTGGAAGCCTTCTGGCACCATCGCCTTCCCTGGGGTGGCCAAAGATCCATCACCCTGCCTCAGGGCCTCCCCGCCCCAGCAACCGCCTGGCTTCTGGACCCTTCTGCTGGCCCAGGCCCCACGGCAGGCAGCCCCGTCAGGGTGTCTCTATCCTCCATCTCCGGAGCTGGGTGACCCATGTCCCCCCGCTGTTGTCCTGTGACCACCCCCTCCCTCGGCCCCATCCGACACGCGGCAGCGGAGCAACAGCGGCATGAGAGGTGCGGGGCTTCACCCTGCTTCAGGGGCAGCCAAACCAGGCTGGACGTACGTCCCTGGCTACGCTTCAGGAATTATATTTTTAATCGGACTTTCTATCCCAGTTTTCAGTAAGACGGTTCTCCCAGGCAAAAAGGAAAGCAAGTCACGCTGATTTGGCTCGTCCATTTGACAGCTTCTGTTAAGGCCTTCCATTGACTTCAACCTTTTAACATCATTAGACTGGGATTTGGAGGAGAGCACCCTCAAAGCTTTGGCAGCAAAAGAAGAAAGTCAGAGCGCTGACCGGGCGAAGTGGCGGGCTGAGCGTCCATACCCACATTTTCTCAAGTGCTAAACTGCTTTTTTTAGCAGCTGAAGCTTCTCCAGGTGCAAAGGAAGGCCTGCTTAATTTCAGCCTAGTAACTAACATTTATATACATTTTAAAACAGATGGCTGCTAAGGAAAGAAAATGCTTTTCACCTTCCCATCTCTGAACTGACTAGAGGATCAACAGAAGTGGCTACTTGTAGAAGTCAGCAGACAGTGGTCATATTGGTTACTTCAATTAATTAGCCACAGGCAACACTTGCTTCACTTGAGAGTCCAGTTTGAAATCCAAATCCATTTAAGTTAAATATTTAAGATAATTTAAAAAAGTGTTTTCTGCATCTAACTAAAGTTATGGTCAGCCCCCAGCAGTTTCACACAAAACCATGAAGACTGAATTAATCAGCCATTACACATATCACCTTCTGGCAGGAAAAAAAAGGAAGTGTAATAATAAAAATAACCGGTCCTCAAATTATTAGAGAATTCCTTAAACATGTACATCCCTTGTCGTTAGTAGTAACAGATACAGTCAAATTTGTATTAAGCTGCCATTCAAAGATAACCAACCATTCAGAATCAACCTCTTTCAAACCCGAGACAAAATTAAAAAGAAATTCTTCTATTCAAGGTCTTCTGCATGCTGATTTGAAATGTGAGTGAATCTGCAATCAGCAGGACTTTTAGTCCACACAGTGCACCATCGGTATGAGGATTTGACAGTTTCTTTGTATAGCACCTCATTCCCCACTAATCTCCTTCCCGAAAAAGGTACCCTACCATCCCTCTCTTTCACAACTTGGCCTGTTCTTTCATTTTTCCAAGGACAATATCATTGCTCCATTTCTCCCCAGGCATAATTTTTCCCCCTTCCTCAGTATATACATTTCAAGAGTCTTTTATAAAATACGAAACAGTATTTTTTTAATTAAAGAGGAGCAAGAACAGTGAATGTAGAGATCATCTTAGATGTTGAGACCTCAAACTCTTCCAGACAAGGACTGTCTCAATTTTTTCTGTTACAAATCCACACAGATAGTAACATACAAGCAAAATAAATCGTGAAAATGTTCAAATCAGTCCAAACTGTCAGCAGAAACTTGGTTACGTAAAGGCAGGCTGTCCTGCATAATAATATTTCTAGGAGGGAATCTAGTTCTCCAGCCCACAAGCATTACATAGCTCCATTATATAGACATCTCATACTTAGTGCGTGCAAATTATATACAGAAATCCCCACAAACCATTGCCAAGAGGAAGGCAAACTACAGCAGATCTATCCTTCTCATTTTCCTGCCTTATGCCCAGAGTAGACAAAAAGAATGGCTTGGCCTCTGGTCCACAGTGCTTTCTTCAGAGGTAACGCAGTAACACCGTTCAGTTTGCAAGCAACAGTAGGGTGGCAAGAAATTAAGAAAGGTAGCATTTGACTTGAGGAAGTTCTCTATGGAAGAAAGGCTAAGAAAGGGCAGATTTAGGCACAGTGAGCTGAGCCAGAGAAAGCTCTTCAAGAAAATAATGGGAGTTCCCTTGCTTTGCACTATAATTAGGCGTATGAGGTCATCTGCTATAAGGCAGCTGTGTGGGCCTGTCCTCAAGCATTAATGTTCAAACGATCAGTACCTGTAGTGGTAGGGTTGAAAGCATTAAATTGAATATGTGCCCTCATTGTCTATTAACTCTTCTGAAGTATTGTATTGGGTTTGTGTGGCAAGGTCTTGGTAGTGGGGGGGCTACAAGGGTGGCTTCTGTGAGAAGCTGCTAGAAGTTTTCCCTGTGTCCACCACTAGCCAAGGCCAAGCCAATCAGTAACAGTGGAAGCGCCTCTGTGATAACATATTTAAGGAGGAAAAAAAACCAGCTGCAGCTCAGTAGCTGGAGAGAGAAGAAGTGAGAGGATGCGAGAGAAATCAGCCCTGCAGACACCAAGGCCAGTGAAGAAGGAGGGGGAGGAGATGCTCCAGGCGTCGGAGCAGAGATTCCCCTGCAGCCCATGGTGAAGACCATGGTGAGGCAGGTTGTGCCCCTACAGCCCATGGAGGTCCACAGCGGAGCAGATCCCCACCTGTAGCCCGTACTTGTGATCCCATGGGGGACCCACGCTGGAGCAGTCTGCTCCTGAGGGACTGCACCCCGTAGAAATTATGGACCCATGCTGGAGCAGTTCGTGAAGAACTGAAGCCCATGGGAAGGACTCACATTGGAGAAGTTTGTGGAGGACTGTCTCCTGTGAGAGGGACCCCACGCATGAGCAGGGGAAGAGTCCTCTCCCTAGGAAGAAGAAGCGGCAGAGACAACGTGTGATGAACTGACCTCAACCCCCATTCCCATCCCCCTGCGCCGCTGGGAGGGAGTAGGTAGAGAAATCTGGGAGTGAAGTTGAGCCCAGGAAGAAAGGAGAGGTGGGGGAAGGTGTTTTAAGATTTAGCTGGTTTTATCCTCTCCTTCTCTGATTTTGATTGATAATAAATTAAATTAATTTTATCAAGCTGAGTCCATTTTGCCCGTGATGGTAACTGACAAATGATCTCTCCCTGTCCTTATCTCAACCCGCGAGCCCTTTGATTTACTTTTCTCTTCTCTGTCCGGTTAAAGAGGGGAGTGATAGAGCAGCTTTGATGGGCCCCTGGCATCCAGCCAGGGTCAAACGACCACAAGTGTGAACAACATATAATAAGGGGGTGAGTATAAATATGTTTAGCAATAGAGTAACGGTACTGATGTAACTCTGTGCCAGCAGTAACACACACCTACAGTCCTTGGCAGTTTTTTTGTATAACTTGCTATTCTTCTCTCCTAGGTGGTTGTCTTAATTATTGAAACACAGTGCAAAAATGATACTGAAGCTCCAATACGCGTAGCATACAATAAATTAATAGCAAGAAGGATCATTGCTAAGAGGGAAATTAAATGTAACCCAGATGAATACAATTTTAATGTTAAGTGTTGCAAGAAATGTCAACGTGGTGAGTATCATTATAAGACTGTGTTGAAAAGTCGTTAGGAGTGGAAACCACCACACGCACAATTGCTTTCTGCTGGGATAGCTAAGCAGCATGCTCTGCTTTCCTGGATGCAATGCTTCATTGTAGCTGGATCTTTCTCTTGCAGGACATCAGACACTTCCAAAGTCTTTCTTGAGCTCAGTGCACCAGTAACTTTTCAGTACAGATAGTAGTTTGCACATAACACCCTTGTCACAAAAGAGCTAAGAACTACTTATGCATCTTTGAAAGAGGTTAAAAAAGTGCAAGCACAGGCTTTTGCTTACAATACTGCATATATCCGTGGGTCTTCCAATTTTGCACATACAGTTTTGTTTGGTGTGTTCTCCTTCACTCCTTCCTTGGAGGAAGAGGGGGGATAATCAGATCTTATGTATACTACATTCCTGAAGAGCATATATGTATGCATAAAGAATATAGATTCTGTCCATATTTGTAAATAAAAAAAATATTAGGGATTAAAAAGAAAGTCTGACATAGGTCTTAGAGCTGATGGCTTCTGTCCAAAGGTATTGCAAATCTTAATTCACGTTTTTCTGTCTCTACAGGTTTTGTTAAAAATATCGAGTGCCCAGAAGATATTAGCGAACACTGTGTTCCATGTGAAGATGGAAAGGAGTACATGGATCATGTCAACATTTTGGATGAGTGTTGGAGATGCCGTTCATGTGACAGCATACTTGGTACATCTATAGAAATATCAACTCTAGCAGTGACTTTTTTGATAGAGGATTTGGCTGAAAAGTCTCCACAATCCCTGAATAGTGGGTAGCATGCAGATAACTACCAGTTTAACTGGTAGTACATGAAGAAATTTCTGACAAAGTCATGAGTTTATCCCCCAGTTCCCATTCATCAAGCACAAAGTAGAAAGAAGAAGCAGCTATGTTGGTCCATTATTTCTCCTTATATCTCCTTCGCTCAGCCAAAGTAGTCCTTGCAAAACAGACTCCATACAAACTGTTAGAGTCCAGGAAGAAAAGCTCGCTCTCTTCTTCACCCTCTATTTAAAAGAAGAGGGTTGTTGTAAGAAGCAGGGGTGGAAGAATTCCCAGTGATTTCTTTTGTAGTCTTTCATGTAATTAATATTATTTAAAATTGCTGGAGCTGATAGAGTGATGCCTTTTATACATTCAACATGCTGTGTGGGATCAAACTATGAGACTGTGAGGCATGCCCTACTGGGTCACACCAGTGGTCCACCTACCCCAGTATTCTGTGTTCAGCAGTGGAGGCAAGAGATGCTATTTAGAGAAAAAACAAACCTATCTGCTTTCTGTGGTCTGTTCCCTGCAAAGTATACCAGCATCCACAGCTGTGGGAAAGGACATAAGAAGGTCCATCCCTACCTAGTCATTTTAGTATCCATTTATGAGCCCTTTGTCCATGAACCTGCTGGGGGACAGCACATTCCAGAAATTCACTACCTGTTGCATAAATACCCATCATAGATTTTTTTTTTCTATTTTTTTTTTAATTCCATTACTGATCTCCTACCAGTTCCACCAGGCATCCTGTAGTTCTAGTATACCTGGATTTAGGGAATGATAGTTTTGCGTATCTAAAAATTAGTTTGGTGAGTGGAGAGACAGCTCTGAACTCCAGTATGGTTGTACTCAGATCACCTGCTGGAATATCAGTCTTTAGTGCTTTCCCCTTCCTGTAACACCTCCATATGCATAGAAAATTTTCCTCTCATTAGCTATTATAATAAGCATTTTTGGATGGGTAATGAAGTTGAGCACAGCAAAAAAATTCAGCATTTTGTACAGTGCCACAGGGGAAACTATTAGATAAGCCGAAGGGGAAAGAAGGGGTACTGGGATGACTAGTCACATTGTCCCAATGGACAATAGTGTAGTTGAAGTCAGTAGAAAACATCAGGCAGGAGGAAAATTACCACTGAAGTTCCATGAGAACCATTCTTAGGATCATTCATGTTTGATATTTTCATGAATGGCTTCAACACTGGTTTCACAGTAGAACTTCATCAAATTTTGAAAGACAATGTGTTTTCCTGTTACAGCAGGACGTGGAATGTGATAACTCAAAAATCCTCTCCCATTTCTATATGCCTATTAAAATAGCTTTCATAGTAGGTAGATACTTAGAATAATTTTTAATGCAGAAATAATTTTTCATAGCTGGAGGTAGCTTCATCATAGACACCAAGGATAAGAGAAAATTCATTCACTTGTTTTGATACTTAAGCAGGGAATATGTTAGCCAAAAGAGAGAGTGGCATTCCTCACCATTGGAGTCCTCAGGAAGAGATAAACTTGTTGTCTGTCAGGTAGAGTAAGTAACTTTTCTCTGACATCAAGCAGGGAGATGGGTTACGTGATCTTCTGAGTTTCCTTCTCGCTTTACACTTCTGAATGGGAAAAAGAAGGTGACAACATTTGGCAGTGCCAAGTGAGTCCTCTTCTAGCAAGTACTTTATCGTGTGATCGGTTTTTTGAGCCCTTGGCCAGCAGAGGTCTCTTTGCCATCTCCATATTTCCAGTACTCCGGCAGCAGGGCTCCTTATAAAAGCTATGTTATTCTTACCATTAAGCCTCACAATGCCAGCAGTGGCAGAGCTAAAAGCATGTAAGTCTGAGGACAAGAGCTTGTGAGCAGAGGCCTGCTTTTGAGGCCTACTTTTTCAAACTGACTTTAAGAAATTTATTTTAGGTTTGGAGCTTGTAAAGAATTGTACCCCAGAACAGGACACGGAATGCACCTGTGTAAAGAACTATTTTTGCAATTCTGCACCATGTAGGCACTGTGATCCATGTACCATGTAAGTTTATGCCTTGAATATGAAATTGTTAATATAGTATGTTGTCACATTTTTTTTCTAGCCAATTTCAAGAGAGAAATGTAATGTATAACCCCAGGGAAAACATAGTAGTTTTCCTTTGCGCTTGGCTTCTTGAGCTGACTTAGCTCAGTCAATTTTAACCTGCAGCCATGCAGGCCTTCCAAAGGCATGTAGAAAAACTTGCATACATCCACCAAGTCTGTATGTACTTCTCAAAAAATGTAATGAAGTATCTTAACTTTCCCGTTGTCTCTGTGTGATCTACTATTACCTCTAGAAAATCACTTCCACACCTTTTTCCACTGTCATGCATTTCCTTACCATACCTATTAAATTCCAAATTCCAACATCTTGATATATGAAATATTTAGCTGATAAAAAGTATTATATGATTTTGATTTGCTCTGTTGACAGAGTTTATAAAGAGAGAAACAAATCCCATAATAATTTTTGTTTATGTTTTCTGCAGATGTGAAAGTGGCGTAGTTGAAAAACAATGTACTTCAACTTCAGACACTGTGTGTGGAATGAAAGGTACCATTTTAAAACCAAGCATGGTCTAGCATCTGCTGTGTTTTGAGAGTCTATTGCAATTGTACTGTTTTACACCATGGTCCATAGTGATTCCTGACAGCTAAGGGCATCATATCTACTGGGCCCTGTGCTGGCCTGTGGAGCATGATTGCTCTTTTCCCTTGATCACTGTACAGATGTAGGAGCTATTACCCCGTTTTAGGGGCCACTCATGATAGGTAAGTCTTGAACAAAGAGATAGCTTCTGCATTAGGAGACAACAGAAACACTTCTATAATCTGATGCAATCTTGTTTAAAATTCAGAGTGCGTTGCTGTATTGCATTTCTTGACTTAACTTTCACATAATGTTTCCAATGTTCCAACAGAAGGACTGCCACAGTGGGCCATTGCTTTGATAACTGTGCTACTGCTATCAGCAGCAATTGGAGCAATAATCTATTGTAAGCAATTTCCTCTTCCTTATTCCTATCATACTCTGAATAAGATATTCAACTACTAACTCAATTTTGTATTCTTGGAGTCCAGAGGAGAGCTATACTCTGTCCTGGATTTTAAAAATGCCATTTTGTTTCAGACAAGAGAAGACAGAAGGGTCTTACTAGCAAGGAGATCCTATGTGAAGAAGTCCCCAAACCAGAGGTTTCTTATGTAAGTGTTGTTGCTTAGATCACATAAAACTCATCTTTCATGCAAGGAACTTTGTTCCATTTAAATTACAGTGGGACTGCCCAAGCATGTACATGCCTCTTTTTCATGACATTAATGAAGTAAATTTCACCATGAGGACTCTTCTGGGAGAAGCAAGAGAAACCCTGTATTATTTCTCCAGAATTTGTTGACATACTCCCTAAGTTACATGACCAAGATCAAAACTTCAGAAGTCATCAAGCCTCCACTGAGCCAGGGTGCCTGTCCCCATGCATACTGTTAGGCAACAGCAATTGTAAGGTGCTTACCCAAGTCCAGAGAGGTCTCTCTGTCTGTCTGATCTGGTTCCCTCACTCATAGAACAGGGGAATCATAGAGAAAACTAAAAGAAAGTTACAGAAGTTGTGTTATGAAATGTGCTTATCCTCTTTTACAAGATTGGTGTTTTACAAAACTTGCTTCTACTCATTCTCTCTTGCTCTTCTTTTCAGGAGAATGTACCTCTCATAGGCACAGGTAAGAGACAAGTAAGTTCTCAACATTCAGGAGAAGAAAAAAAAAAAAAAGACATGCAAATCCTACACTAAAAAAGGGTATATTTGTGTACACTTTGCCACTGCCTAGAGCTGTCACTCTAGCACAACAGTGAACACTTATTAAAGAAATGCCAGTTCATATTGTTCTTATTAAGGCATTTAGTGGTATCATGAAAGTTTTGCCTCAGGAGGAATTTCTGTTATATGGGAAGCAATTACTAATTGACAACAGGTGAATTTCTGTTCTGCATGTGGTACAGACACTAGGAGGCAGCAAGCTGGATTTCTAGAGTGGTGGATAATTATAGTAATGGCTCAGTCCCACACCCAGCAGTGGGATTGCAGAAACACAAACCTCCCTTATTCTCAAGGGCAAATCCATAGTAGTAACACAACAGAAAAAGAACATAAGCTCCAAGGCTGTATCACAACAAAAGACCTGTCCTGTTCTGGGACCTTTCCCAGCACTATTTTGAGCAAAACAGGTACATGAGGGATGACGAGACTTTAATGATAGAGAAGGACAGAATAGGTTACAGAGGGAACCGAGATTCTATTTCAAGTGGCAGAAAGCAATATGGATACACCCTAAATATTTGAATTACCTAGCTTTTGGTAGGAACATGTAAAAGCAGACCCGCTGTATATTGTAAAAAATCATGTATAAAACATACCGAGTCATGAATACCTGAAACTTAATCTGTTTTGGATAGGAAAACTCTGAGCACACGTGATAAAAACCGAGATATAAGTAAGATATAAGTGCCAAGAGCATTAATTTCCTTTTATGCTTGTAGATGTTGACCTGAGCAGCCACATTGCTGGTATTGTGGAGGAGATGACACTCCAAGAAGTCAAGACATTTGTTCGTAATCACAAAGTACCAGAACCTGTCATAGATCAAATTCTTCGGGATTATATTAGTGATACATCTGAACAGAAGATTAAGCTGTTTCAAGCCTGGTATCAAAGACATGGGATAAAAGGAGCCTATGGAACCCTAATAAGCAGCCTGAGAGAGTTTAAAATGTGTGCTGCAGCTGATAAAATTGAGGAAAAATTGAAGGCAGCTGTTTCCAGCTGTCAGGAGGGGGGACAGTCTTACAGTGATGACACTGAGCAAAGCAAAACCTGCACTCAGGAAGGTAGAAACTCTTACAATGATAGTGCTGAGCTAAGTAAAACCTGTTCTGGTAGTTTGGAAGAGACATAGCACAGTCATTCAAAATTATTTCTGACTGAATTAGTATTTTTTTAATAACAGAAATAACAAATCTTTTAAATGCCATTTTCATTGGTCATTCTGACTGATTCAAGGAAGTTATATTATGAAAACAGAATAATAATTATTTTTGTAGCAATATATTTCCTTTAAGAAATGTTTTAGCTTATTTTTTGGTTGTTAAGAACTGGGAGGAAAAGTTTTATGGCTCATTTCCTGAAAGGTATAAAAGTCCAGCTATAGGATTCACTACAAGAAAGAAGTAGTAGTCATTATTTGAAGAAAAGGTTTAATCTAAATGTATGGTCCTGTATTACTTAATCTATGTAACATTTTGCATACATTAAAACTGCGGGATGTTGCATTTTTCAAAGGGAAAACTCTGGTATTAAGAGCTTATGAAGTGTACTAGGAAGAATACTTGAACAAAAAAAATATATAACATAAATCTGATTAATTCTGAATATAGGTGTTGCTGTGTAATTAAATTCTGCTGTTTTTATGTGGATTTTCTCCCTTGTATAAAAGCGCCTCTGTGTGTGTGCGTATACAGATTTTTGTATACTTGTATCTATATTTATATGTGTGTATATATGTGCAAGTTTTTTATGCAAAAGCTCCCAGTGCTAAGTATAATAGTTATTTCCTTTGTCCTCTGCAATAATTGCAAGCCTTTTCTAATGTTGAAACCCTTCAAAGAAGCAGGAGCTGCAGCAGTGCAGCAGAACCATGCTTTCTGGAAGGCAACCTGCAGAAGCTATGAAGCCTCCATAAGCAAGTGTGCAACACTAGCTGTTCTAATGCAGGAACTGATACGATGAAAACATCATTGTCATTAAAAAACAAAAAATCCACATACCTCATGACTTCTGTCTTTCCTTCTTACAGTGCAACCTATAGATGTCACTTCTAAGTTTGCTTTTACTCTGGTTAGTAAATCACAAAAAAACCCACCTTACCTTTCTTCTGTCACAGAGTGTAGAGGGCTCTGCTCCTAAATTCCAAGAACGAGCAGTGGTGGCTGCTTTGCAGCCAGGCCTTTCCTGCTCACCCACCCATTTATGCAAAGTCTCACGAAGTCTTTCAACAGAAAAGGAGACCTCACTGGAAAGGTTTGATTTTCCCAGGTCACATGGTAAGCAGGATGACTGTCTTCTTTGGCTCTGCCATCAGTTCCCTAGAGAGTCTCCAGCCAGTGTCAAGACTCGGCCAAAACGTGAGGAGACCTTCCTGGGCTTGCTCCCACTTGCCAGCCAGGCTGTGCTGGTGGGTTGGGGTAGGGTCCGACTGCTGCCACCCGGCCCCGGGGGTGTGGAAAGGGCAGGGCAGGTGGCGCAGCAGGGTGCCAGGTGCTGGCAATCAACCCCCAGGCAGCACCGGGCACACACAGCTGCGTGGGGTTGCTCCAAAAGCTCACCTTGCTAGAAGTGAGGTGCCTGGGAGGGCAGTGCGTGGCCCTTGAAAACAGCTAGAAATCTGTGCACAGCTTTAAGCAGGAGCCTGAAAGGAAAGTCAGGACTTAAGATTAGCTTCAAAAACGTTAAGCCTTTCACAGACTTGACCCATCGAAGGTCTGAAGGACACAGAGCATGTTCTGTTGCCAAGCCCAGGCCCCATTGAGGTTGTACAGTTCTTCCCCAGGTCTCAACGCCACAGAGGTGCTAAGCGAGTGCAAAAAACTTCTACCCCATTTTGCAGCCTCTTGCCTCTAACCTTTCTGCATTTTCTAAATGTCTTGTCAATCAGCTCGCCACTACTGTACTGCCAAAATGCTCACACTGTGCTGCTTTTCGAAGGAAAACCTTCAGGTTGCTGTAGCTGGGTGGTTTAACAGCCGTGCACCAGACTTGTGCACCTATGGATGGATTAAGGCACAACATGATGTAAATGACTTGCATCTGTGCTGTCTGTGTACAAGTCTGACACGCTGCAACAGCGTCTTGCTCATCGTGGCCAGGCTCCACATATAGAGGAGGATAAAATGCCTGCCTTTCGGAAAAGAGCACAGCAGTGCTGTAGGCTGTGCTGGCTTTCCTGGGTTGGAGTGATGCAGAAGCACAGCCAAGACAGGAAGGAAGGAATGCTCCATGCTCTCACAAGCCCTGGTAGACAGGCTGCTCCCTGTACCACGTCCCACCCAGGAAGGCATAAATGTTGCTTAAAGGTATGTTGGCAGGTACCTGACTTGAACTTTGGCTTTTTTTGGCTTCTGCCTTTATCTCTGAGAGTGAGGCATTTGGCCACCAGAAACTAAGGTTGTCCACCTCTCAGGGCTTCAGTGGATCAGTATAACCAACCTGAACTAGGCAGATCTTAAAATTGAGGTACCAAACCTCATGAATTTGCAGCAGTGAAACAGAATGAGAATTTTTTCTTTCATCACATTGGAATTTCCCAACCTCAGTATAACGAGGATGGTTAAAAAAAAAAAAAAAAATCCCTGAGCAATGAGTCATATTCTCCTTAGGAGACATCTGCAAGGCTGAACCCAGACTGCCATTAACTCTAGTGGTTAGCATACATCATAATTTTTTTTTTTAACTGGAACACTCTGCATCAAATAAGAGGATTGATTATATTGTGCCGTTGGTTTTCCAGAGGAGCACGTATGTGTCTACACTGCAGCCAGCAGCGTGGCATAGAGCTATCTGATCAAGTTTAAAGAACCTGGACCAGGGACCGAAAGCGATTTGGTTCTGCTGACCCACAGTGACATACCTAGCTTTCCATTGCCTCCTGCTTCTGGCCTCATTTTCAAACAAGGGCTGCACAGGAAAACCGTACCAAGTAGGTTATATTAGGACTGTTTCACCTTCCGCTCTCACCTTTCATTCTCAGAAGGAAAGTGGTGGTGGTGGTGGTGGTATGTCCTCAGCCTTTTTCTCTCTTCAACCACTTTACAACCTCAGGAACTCCTGCCAGACAGTGGCCTTTGTGTAGTGGGTTGGTCAGTCCCCTTAATTGTACCAGAAGCTCCTACGTGGCTGAGGTGGGAGAGGCTCTGCACGTACCAGCAACACCGGTTGACTGGTCAAGGCAGGGGACAGAACAAGGAGCCACCAGTTATCCCCTGACAGCCTCAAAGCATGCCTTGCCTGGGTCAAAACCAAGCAGAGCAGTGCCATGGTCACAACCCAAGCGGAGCGGTACTACCTCCAGCTGGATCGTGGTCAGGATGACAGCTTACAAATGACTAAAGCCAATCATCTCATGGCCCTATAAAGCAGTGGTTCACAGTGAGGCCCTCTGAGCTCTCCTGGACTGCAGCGGGCTGCAACCAGTGCCTCCCTCTAAGTGGGACGCCTCTCAGAGTTCACAGACTCTAAAGTTTGCTAAAATCGGAGGTCCATCACCAAAGACCAACAGTGGAGCCTGTGCTGAAACCTTTCACTCCTTGAGGCTCAACCCTCACCTGTTAATAAATGCCAAGACATTTGATGTGAGTATTGCACTGAACTCAAGGGGAATTTTTAGCAGGTATACCCTTGTTTTATATATATACACACATTACATATACATATATATATGAAAAATATGGATATAGTCATGTTTGTGAGTGTATGCATGTGTGAATCAATTTAAGTAATCTGTAAATGTGCCATTTAATTACTAACTCTGGGAATGTTAAATTAGTCAATGATCAAGTGCTGCTAAAAATCTCACGGTCCACCTTAAAACTGTGAACAAACCTTAGACTGCTGCTAGGCACATATTATCCTTAGACATAAACCGTTGACAGAGACGGAGACTAAGATTGGACCTAGCTGCACCTAGACTCCCCTCTGAGATGAAGCTTAGAAAGCAATGGGGTCTACTCTGAACCTCGTGACTCAACGGGAGGGTCCTCCTTATCCTCTGCACCCACGACCTCTTTGTGAATCGTTCTGACTCGAGTGTAACTTGATTTCCTTTGTGTGCTTCTTCCATGCACCGACAGAGCAAACCTTGCCGGCTTCAAATCTGTAACTAAGTCGCTGGTTTGATTCATTTTGTCGAATCACTTTGTTAATAGAACAATGACTGAGTGCTCTTAAAATATCACAATCAAATCCTCTGATTTGCTGTAAAGGTGCAAAGAAATTCTGAACTGCTACTAAATCAAATTGTGTAACGACACTCATGCGCAACAAAAGGCCATGCAGACTCTTGTGCTGATAAGCAAGATGACTGCCACTGCCATAGCTGCTTGGTGAAATATAGTTCTGGTATCTTTAGTCTCTGCTCTGCACTTTGCACGCTTGCCGTGACCAGCCTCTTTCTCCCAAACGACAAGGCTGCATCATGGACAGTATAAAATAACTCTTT